TTCAGATGGCTTGAGGGTTGGATAACTCCATACCCTCCAACATTTCTCTAATGAAAAGAGGGACGTCCTAAGGAAAAGTAGGACATTCCAGGATCAAATCAGAAACCAGGAAGGCTTCTGTAAATGTGGGACTGTCCCTGGAAAATAGGGACACTTGGAAGGTCTAGGATCCTGTTACCCAAGCAGATGTGTCCTACCCCCATTAACTGGGGAGTTAATGCAGAAACTTTAAATAGCAGCAACTGAGGCACAGTGTCTTGTTCAGTCCTCCCTCCTGAGTCCTTTAAATCTTATGTTTCTTTTGGTGTTAATTTTCCTTGGTTGTTAGGTAGAAAGGCAATGTGTTTTATAATGTATATATCCATGTTTCATATTTTATTATTTATATATTGATTTCACAGTCCCACCATATAAGCCTTCAAAGTAAATTTCAAACATGGCACAACCAGGTTGTTTATGGCCTTCAGTTAGGGCTGGCATATTTTGAAGAGCAAAAAAGAGGCCACATTTGTCGACTTCTTCTTTTAATTATGGATCTCTGTGACAACTCTCATCATGAAAAAAAGGACGTATCCTGGAAAAAGAGGACATATGGCAACCTCAATTCAGCCAAGGCAGGTCTCGGGATGTATATCCTCAGCCATTGAATAAAGAAACAAATTCCCTCACCTGACACCTACGCAAAAGTGCACACAATTTTGCTTGAAAATTGCATTGCACTTTCTCATAGTAAATTGTACCTTCTTTTACAGGTGGAGGGTGCCAAAAATAAGATGTCTGACAGACAGAATGTCCATGCATGACACTTACCCCCATGGGTGACACTTCCCCCCACAATTGTTTTTGCATACTAGAAAAAGGTTTAGCCTGTTGAAATTTATGCTACTATTCAGCTGTTTAAAGTACAGGAACCTTGCTGTCTTCCCCAATGCCAACCCTAAACCATGCAAAGCACTCAGGTTTCATGAGCTGTAAATCATTTATATTACTGTAGGCCTGTCATCAATTTATTTTAGGCCAGCAATACTACTCAATGCAAGATCAGGTGTGGCGTTTCGGATGGCTGAGACGGGGTGGAGAGACAAAATAGATTTAAGATTACAGCAGCTAAGGTTTAGCTACCCATACTTGGATGAATTCGAGATTAAAAAGCAAGTAGTATATTCTAAGGGTATTTGTTGTGGTTATTTATTCATCCCCCACAATAACTACGGCACTGTTATCAGCACAAGTCAAAATATCCACCCTTCTCTCGCTCTGTCTTGGAGAAGAAACATTGAAGCTGTTGACAGGAATATACTAATTCATATGTTTGTACCAGTAGCAATAGGGTGGGAACCCAGTAATATCTCTCTCTCTCTCTCTCTCTCTCTCACACACACACACACACACACAGTGTTGCTGCTGTTACAACCCAACATTAGTGGTCCCTGTATTTATCGAAAAGCATATACAAAACCAGCACACCAAGACACACCAAGACGCCAACCCTGGACTACCCTGCAGAGTTATCAAACGCTTTCTCTCAACCTCCTACCCAAAATATTTGTATACCGAAACTAGACTAGACTATCAAAGGCTGACACAACCTACATTTTCGCAACCATAATATTCCACCTTGTAGTATGGATATACTGATTATGGGTTTTATTTTCATTTGCATTTATTTGCATGTTTTAAAATGCTGACATACATACTCAGAAGCACTTACACACCATCCATTCATTCCTCAATTTCTCAGTTATTTTTTCCGGGTAACAATGGGTTCTCTACCAGGGAAGACTAAAAAAAAAGTTTCAAAAGGACCCCAGAAGTACCTTCAAAACAAACCACAAAAAAACAGATGGTCCCTTCTCCCTTCTCTGAATGAAGTGAAAACTAGAGGGACACAAGCTTCAGAATAAACGCAGCTTCAGAATAAAGTTCTGGTTTGAGGTCCTGCCTAAAGTTCAGTGTCTGGGTTCCCTGCTTACTGTGTTCTCAGAGCAGGAAGAACATTTCTATTCATGTCTTGGTGGCCCAGCTTGAACCTGGTGTCTACTCAGTCACTGACTGTCCTTAGTGATGGGGTAAAAGGCAAGCCCTCCCCTGAAACATCTGCTCCTGTCCAGAAATCAAATTTCAGTGGAGCAGATAACAATCTCCAGGTCTGGAGGTCAGAGCTGCCCCTCTCACACAATTCTCCCCTCTTTTTTATCCTACTCTTCCTTCAAACAGCTCTTAAGCGGCTTCTGTTTTTGTTTGTTCTGGTTGGTCAGGTGCAAACTGAATTCCTGATAACGTCCCTTGATTTATCTATCCATCATCTCACCACTTTTATACAAACAACCAAAATATAAGAGTTTTGGCAAGGGCATCCATCTGGTTATTGAAATCCACCTGTGCTTATTAAAATGTGCTTTTCCGGGGGTTGTGCGAGGAACGGAACTGAACTTTCAGACTGGATTCATATACTCTGTCAACCAATATTTGCCTCTGAAGCACCATTACAACTGCATGTAGCTGGTTCGAACAAGTGCCTCTTAATAAGTTCTGCCCACATTCTTGGCATCATTCATTTGAAATGCCATTGTCTTTCAGTGTATATCAGGAATATTTTTATTGCTCTTTGAAATCAGCTCAGTACTGAGGGCACTCTTTAAACTGCAAAAAAGCTGGTTTTTCCAAAGCAAATTAGCTGCTTTAAAATATAATTGTTTCTAGGTGCTTTTGAGTCACGCCTTTTCACAGTATGTTTCTGAAAAATATGCTTGGTGAAAGACGTGCAGATGTTTGTCTCTGAAAGGCGAGCATCCCTTCAAATATTCATGAAATTCTTGCTATTGCATTTTAATTTGCTTTAGAAAATTGCCTACTTTGTTATTCATTTTTGGTTTGCATAGTAGGTACCCTGCCTCAGATTGGTTTCCATTTCTAAGGAGGATTTGCAGATGACACAGGAACACAGATTTTTGTGTTGGATCGTAAATTGAATTCCTTTCATTAAAAAAGTAATTTTCACTGTGTTACTAGCACAATTTTTATTTTGCTAATGTGCCAGATTTCTTTGATGGTTTTGTTGGGCTTTAGATGTTCAAGTGTAGTGAATATTCAAACACAAACTCCATATACTGAATGATTAGTCTATCTTGATTGAGACTTTCTAGCACAACCTGATGAATACTGTAAACGGAGCAAATTCAATAGGAATTTTAAAAGAGATCGAAAAAGTAAACCATGCACCAAAGCACTAGCACTATCCGAATTTCACACGGTTCCCTATAAAGCAGTGCTTCTCAAACAGTGGGCTGAGGTCCACCAGTGGGCACTGGGCCCCTTTTAGATGGTCTCCTCATTTGCTCATTCTACCACCTAAGCATGCCATAGCCTTTTGGTTAGACCAGTGCCAGCAGCAGCAACTCCTTGTCTGCTGGGTAGAGCTGGCCAGAAGACAGAGAAGTTTAGGGCCAGGGGGGTGGAATAAAGGTCTCCACATTCTGAAGGGAAGGAGCCAAAGGCAGTGATGAAGGAAATTGCAAAGTGAGGTGAAATGCTGTTGATGATGGTGATAAAAAATAAATAAACATGTAAAGAAAGGAAACCACTAAGAAAAGTAACAACAACAACAACAATTTTATTACTTATACCCCGCCCATCTGGCTGGGCCTCCCCAGCCACTCAGGGCAGCTCCTAACAGAATATTAAAAACATGATAAAACATCAAAGATTAAAAACTGCCCTAAACAGGGCTGCCTTCAGATGTCTTCTAAATGTTAGATAGTTGTTTATCTCTTTGACATCTGATGAGAGGGAGTTCCACAGGACGGGTGCCACTACCAATAAGGCCTTCTGCCTGGTTCCCAGTAACCTTGCAGCGAGGGAACCGCCAGAAGTCCCTCGGCGGTGGACCTCAGTGTCCGGGCTGAAGAATGGGGGTAGAGACACTCCTTCGGGTATACTGGGCCGAGGCCATTTAAAGCATGGATAGGCAAACTAAGGCCCAGGAGCCGGATCTGGCCCAATCGCCTTCTAAATCTGGCCTGCGGACGGTCCGGGAATCAGTGTGTTTTTAGATGAGTAGAACGTGTGCTTTTATTTAAAATGCATATCTGGGTCATTTGTGGGGCATAGGAATTCATTCATCCCCCCCAAAAAATATAGTCTGGCCCCCCACAAGGTCTGAGGGACAGTGGACCGGCCCCCTGCTGAAAAAAATTGCTGACCCCTGATTTAGGGCTTTAAAGGTCAGCACTATGACTTGTGCTCGGAAACATACTGCCAGCTAATGTAGGTCTTTCAAGACCAGTGTTAAGTGGTCTTGGCATTCACTCCCAGTCACCAGTCTAGCTGCTGCATTATGGATCAGTTGTAGTTTTTGAGTCATCTTCAAAGTAGCTCCATGTAGAGCCAGTGGCGTAGCGTGGGGGTGCAGGGGGGGCCGGCCGCACCGGGCACAACATCGGGGGGGGCGCTCGCACTCGCAGCTCTCTGCCCCTACCTGGCTCACTCACTCTCTCTCACTGCAGTGCTGGCTGTGCGAATCCGATCCGAGCCGCTGGGTCGCCGCCCACTGTGGAGGGTGGGTGCCAGGCGTGCGGTGCGGAGAGAGAGCGAGGAACTATCTGGGGACGGACAGTGCAGCAGCCGCCCAGCGCAGCGCTGAGCGCGGAGAGAACCACACCAGACCAGACCAGGCAGCAGCAAGAAGAAGCTGGCAGCGGCGGCAGGTTAGGGGTTAGGGGCGCAAATTGCCTTGCCCGGGTTAGGGCGCAATGTGCCTTGCCCAGGTTAGGGCGCAAATGCTGCCTTACCCCGGGTGCTGACAACCCACGCTACGCCGCTGCGTAGAGCGCATTGCAGTAGTCCAAAACTGTTATAGAGAAAGCAGTGGACGTAAAAGCACCAGGGAGGGGGGAATAAAGAAAATGGAACATCGAGGAGAAATAAGGTACAAGGAATCATAGCGTTGGAAGGGACCACGAGGGTCATCTAGTCCAACCCCCTGCAATGCAGGAATCTTTTGTACAATGTAGGACATGAACCTGTGGCCCTGAGGTTAAGAGTCTCACGCTCTACCCAACTGAGCTACACATTGGGGTGGGGAGTATGAAAGGAGAAGAAATTAGAGGAAATAAGTAAAAATCCTTTTGAGAACCATGTGCTGGTAGAAAACATCAAAAGAAAAAGCCTTCTCTACCAAGATCTTTTGAACCAGCAATTTCCCCCAAACTGGCTCTTAGCATACCTCGTGACAAAGAATTTAGCCAGTCTCAAAGATGGAGTAGATACCAGGAGGAAAAGCCCACTGATTGAGCCAAACTGCCTCCATCTGCCACCATTTTCTAACCAGTGTGGTGTAGTGGTTCAGAACGATGGACTCGTAATCTGGTGAACCGGGTTTGATTCCCCGCTCCTCCACATCCAGCTGCTGGGTGACCTTGGGCTAGTCACACTGCTCTGAAGTCTCTCAGCCTCACTCACCTCACAGAGTGTTTGTTGTGGGGGAGGAAGGGAAAGGAGAATGTTAGCTGCTTTGAGACTCCTTAAGATAGTGATAATGCGGGATATCAAATCCAAACTCTTCTTCTAACTGAGATTACCCTTGAACCCACATTTTGTGACTGGAGGGCCTCAGTCATTTTCACCCAGTTCAAGTGGGCCCTGAGAGTAAAAGTCTTGAGGAAGCTGCTCCAGAGAATAGAGGGAAAACCTAGAACAGATTGAAGGAAGTTCTGTTATGCCAACCTTTGCACTAACAGAACAAGTTACTTAGCACTACATTGGATGCACCCCTGGTTTCTGTGACTCCGTGCTATAGCAAAGCTCCCACAAAGCTCCAGGTCATATATATGCCCAAGAGAAAGGAAGGGAAAATGCTATACCATCCATACTCTGAAGTAGCTTACATATTTTAGGCATCCCTGAAACCACTGAACAAAGCAGAGCCACACATTTTTGATACATGCAGTGGATACAGTGGAAGCTACTTAACGTACTGTGAGCATCCTCGATATAATTCCTATATTCGAGTCCCAGATGTAGTGAAATACTGAAATCCAATTGAAAGGTGACAAGTGCTTAGATCACTGAGGCAGGAGACTCTACTGGGGGGAAATGAATGGATTTGTATAGGGGACGAGAATGGAAGAGAAAGCATTTAGCACTTCTGAACATTATACAGCACCCCAGAATTGAAAGGCTTGTAGCTTCACAGAGTCGGGCTTAGTAACTAAGGTTGGATCTAGACGCATCAAAAAAAGTTTCAGGAAAACACGTTGTAAACCTCATAAAGGGAAATCACATTGCCGAAAGATGGAACTCTACAGCGCCATCTGGTGTCACAGTGTTATAACACATTTAAAACGCTTTTTAAAGAAAAACTAATGTAGCTGATGGCCTAATAGCTTCTCAGAATGGCAAGTCTCCTCGGGCATGACCTTGCTATCCTCCACATGTAGGAAAACAGGTGCTGGTGCCTTAAATAAAAGAGAAATGATGGAGAAACAAAAGATACTCATGGGGAATGTTTGTGCATGAATCTGTATGTATGCACATTTGTGCAGCTGTACCTAGACAGCGGTTCTCAACCTGTGGGTCCCCAGATGTTGTTGGACTACAACTCCCATCATCCCCGACCACTGGTCATGCTGGCTAGGAATGATGGGAGTTGTAGTCCAACAACATCTGGGGACCCACAGGTTGAGAAACCCTGACCTAGAAGAAGTTTGTTCATTTGGGATCTTATTGTTAGGAAGCACTGCAGAAAATGTTGGGTGTTGATTATTTAATTGGTGCACCACCTGATACTGGTTGTTTTTCTCTCGTTATGAAAGCAAGATGGTGGAGCATCACACAGTGCCACTAACTAAGATTAAAGTTGGCATCATGAATTCTGAACACATCACCCTACTAGTTGACAGCAGATGTGTAGTGGAATCACACAACCACATGTATAAAAACTAGGGTTGCCATGTCCATAATTTCCTGGACATATCCGGAAAACAGTGTCCGGGCTTAAATCATGAAAATGTGTGGGGAAATCTGGGTGTATGGCAACCCATGTCAGCAGTATCGTTTGGGGCTATTTCCCTTTTAAAAAAAGCTCAAAAAGCGCCCCCCCCCCCCCCCGGAAAAAGAGCTCAACTGTTTGGCTGTTTGAAATATGGCGACCCTATAAAAACATAATAAAACATTAAACATTAAAAAACTTCCCAATACAGGGCTTCCTTTAGATGTTTTCTTAAGGTTGAATAGTTGCTTATCCGGAGGTCCCATAACTCTACAACCTCTAACATTTCTCCAATGAGAATAGGGATGTCCTAAAGAAAAGTGGGAGATTCTGGGATCAAATCAGAAACCGGGATGGATTCTGTAAATAGAGACACATGAGGGGTCTGAGGTTGCATCCTATGTTCCTAAAAAAACGCTCTGCATATTCCATGCATACAGTTTCATGTTTCACCAGAAGCGTGTACAAGTAGAGGATTTCACTATAGGGGACAAACAACATGAATTGGTTTTTAAGCAAGAAATCACCATGGACAGTACAACAAATAGAAACAACTCAGACAAAACACACAAATAGACAAAGCACACAAACAATGGTACCCTAATGCCCCAGAGATACATTCTTGTTCCCATCAGCTGTGCCAGCTAATGCATTTGACGTGCGATATGGCATGCAGTCTTCACATCTCTGTGGAGCAATGTGCTTCTCTTGCTTACTTCCTACTTATTTTGAAGCTAAAAACATCCACATGGCCTCCTCTATCCTACTGCTAAACAAGTGACAAGAATACAGTGCAGCTTATTATGGCATAGTGATGATTCTTGTACAGCTATTCATTCTCACATGCAGTGCTTTGAAGATTCACTGCGAAAAATTAGATGTCATTCCATACAGTAAAGGTAATTAACTGTTAGATTAAAGTCTTGGTTTTATAATACCAGTGTGATCTTGAGCATGCAAAAGATCTTAGTTTTAGAGAAGATTTAGACAACTCTTAGGAAGTTCAAAGTACAGGGAAAATAATATCTTGGAAAATGAGATAAAGTGGCTCAGAACTCGTATTCAGCACAAAAAGTAACACAGATAGATAATCTTTTGAAAGCTAGTATTGATAAATTATTTGGAATTCCTTGCTTAAAACTGGCGATTTCGGCACACTTTTAATAATTCTCTGAATGTCTGGATTCAAAGTGGACGAACTTGGCCTAGTTCAGATGTGTGATCAGATCCTAGTTGTAACCAGCAAGCTTTAGATAGAGTGAAAAAATATAGCTCAACTCAACTTTTACAGAACTTTTATGTTATGCTTCTTCAGAGTTCTTCTGTGGGGCTTTTTTTTTTGGCCTGTATGTTTTGAGGATGGACTTGGATAGAAGAAAAATCTTTATTTGCATCAGTCACCAGCAATAGCAGTAAAATAAAATAAAATGTACTGAAGGTAGAGGTAAAAACTTAACTATACAAAATACATTTTGGAGGTTTACATCAATAATCAAATTATAGATCTTTTCTAGTTGCTCCCACTAAAAACCTTGCAGTTCTTGCTGTCACCTGATCGTCTTGTTCTGCTAAAAGAAAGGACACAGTAGCAATGGTTGAGTGACCCAGCATGGACAATAGTAGAGGGGTAATAACCTCACTCCTTAAATCTTGTGGACTTGGATATTTTAACTGTAAGAAAAACTCTGGGGCCTAATTTGAATAGTAGAATGTCTGGCATCTGGTGGGTTGTGCTTCAGAATCGGCCCCTCCCTTCAGGTGTTCAGTTAAGTTCAGTTAGAGAGGCCAACTGTCATTCTTGCTTCTTGCCTCATGATTTTGTTTTAATTTCTCTCAGACAGCATGCTATTGTGTTACCATTTTCTTTATTACTGAAGCTGGGAACTGTGGTTTGTTAAATAATAAAATTATAATTACTACTATTATTCTGAGAGTTGTTGTTCCCCTCACAGAGCTACAGTTCCCAGAATTTTCTGGGAAGCGGGATTGACTGTTAAATCACTTTGGGAATAGGAGGGGGGCTATTGGGTTGTTGTTTTGATTTTTATTGTGTATTTTGTGATTTTAGATCTTGATTTTATTCTGTGAACCACCCTGAGACCCCCGGGTATAGGGCAGTATATAAATTAAATACTACTACTAATAATAATAATATGGTATATTACTGCTTTAAAGATATAGTGCATATGAGGCCTTAGCTCAGGAGTCAGCAAACATTTTCATTTTCATTGTCTCTCAGGCCTTGTGGGGGGCTGGACTATATTTTGAAAAGAAAAAAAAATGAACGAATTCCTATGCCCCACAAATAACTCAGAAATGCATTTTAAAGAAAAGGACACATTCTACTAATATAAAAACACGCTGATTCCTGGACCCTCCATGGGCCGGATTTAGAAGGCAATTGGTCTGGATCCGCCCCCCAGGCCTTAGTTTGCCTACCCATGCCTTAGCTGATTCCTTGTAGGAGTGAAAGGAGATACAGGGCTGCTCTTTTTCATGATATCCTTGTACTTTCTACAATATCAAGTAGTTTAGTTGAATGTCTCTGAAATTTTAAATTATCACATTTAGGCTGAAGGTCCCCTGACCCTCTATGTACTTGAATGAATTTCATTAATGGAAGACCCATTTGCTGAGACTAGCAAAACTTGCTGAGCCCAAACAAAGCTCACTGAGGGACTGAAACCGATAAATGTAAAATGAGAAAATAATTTAGACTTCACATCTAAGGCTTTGGGTAAAATAATAATGCTTCAGAGTTCCTTTAGGATGTGCTGATTAATATCTTTGTTAATGAGTTAATTGGAGTCTTCTCAGACTTGAACGTGTTCTATTTAATAATGCTTGTACATTTTGTTTCTTAGATCCCGCAGGCTCACTATCTGGTTATGTTACGCACTTTGGATGTTGATTGTGTTTGTGCTATTTTTCTGTTTTGATGAAATTAATAGTGCAATACTATAATGCTTCCTCAGAAGTAAATTCCATTAAGCCTCATTATGTTCAATAGGGCTTGCTCTCAGGAAAGTGATTGAAGCCTTAGGGGACCCCTGACCATTAGGTCCAGTCGCGGACGACTCTG